GAAAAAAAGAGAAAGAAAATGCATTTACCTGTAAAGTTTTCCTTCTTGATAAAAAAACTTTTATTTTTAACCGGGGCAGCTGTGGTGGAGTGGTTAGTGGAGTCATCCTGGAACCGTTAGGTCACTGGTTCGATCCCCTGTTCCAGCCGTTGTTGTGTCCTTTAGCAAGACACTTCATCCGCTTGTCTACTAATGGTGGTCAGAGTGTCTGGTGGCACTGGTGGTGCAGGCAGCTGTGGCTACAATGTAGCTTACATTCATCAGTGTGAGCATGTGTGTCTTCATGGGTGAAAGCCTGATTGAAAAGTCACTGTATTCAATCTCAAAATATTATAAATTTGGGTGGGAAATGAGGGGCATTCATGCCTGCCTCCATTTATCCCACTCTTTGTTCTTGAGCAAGGCCCTTAATTCCTCACATTCCCYGGGCTGCCTATGGCAGCTCTCTGTGTGCTGCATCAGCTCGCTGACCTGTGGTTAGGTCAGGAAGGACATCCAGGGTAAAAACATCTGCCAAATCCTTGTGACTTTGTTCACTGTGAGGACCCCTTGAGAAATAGGTGAAAAAAACCCATAATAACCATTGGTGAATTTGTGTGTTTCCTACAGGGAAAAGTGTTTCCTAAACTGAGGAAGAAGAGCAGTACAGCCAGGCTACTGGAACAAGACAGGAATGGTGAGGAGCAGACAGCTGCTGACTACGTCTTTCGTATAGTCTACCCTGGACATCGATATGATGCCAGTAAGTAACACCTTCACTCTACCAACTGTGCTAAATATCCCAAGGCAAAAGTGGAAGCTCATAAATAAACACTTGTTTTTCTTGTTAACACTGATCCCTGTGACCTGTGGGTACACACAAAGGTGAAGTTCTCAGTACCTTTTTGAGAAAGAAAGAAAACCTGTAACCTTTATTTGAACAACTTGAAAATGACAACAGAAATAATAATTAAAAAAAATAAATATCAACCAATGAGTATTAGTCATTGCTTTTGAATTTCAATTCAACAGACTTATTTTTAAAGGCAAACCAATGAAACTGGCCTTGACAAAAAGGCTGGTACCCTTATGAAACATGACCTCGACTCGAGGGATGTGTTGGACACGAGCCCCCGGTATTAGGAGGAAAAATGCACTTTCTGTTTTTATTGCTGGTAACTTCTGTTAATATCTGTCATTTAAACACAGATGTGTTTCGTGTCCACWGAAACATCAGACTCTAGGCTAAAAGCTCATAAAATCTACATCCAACAAACACAGTTAAAACCACAAGCATTTGAATCACAAAATGTACACAATGGTGTCAACGCAAATCTGTAAATTATCTGTAATTAGAGCAAATCTATAAGTTTGTTTTGATCATTTTTTAGAACTTCAAGTCAAAGCAAGTACTAAGATGTTGTAAATTGTTTTCAAAGGTTTTTACAAACTTGATTGGATAATTATTCTGCAGCTGAAGCACTGTTTATWTGAAAAAGGTAAAAAAAAATGTGTGGGTAATTAAAAACCAACACTTCAGGCATTTAAAATTAGTGGTTTTTTATAATTAAAAATCCAAGATTTCTTAACATTTATTGATGGTACTAAAACGGTCCATCCTGTGCAGAATGACAAAATGAGTTATTTATTTACTAAAACCTCTGTAATTTTGCTTTAGTTCACTTTAGCATCATGACTCTTTGTACAGGTAATGTCCTCATCGGACTTTATGGTTTCCAAGAGTTTTTAGCCTTAATCATTTTATTTTTAAAAGGATTATTT